ACAGTGGCCGTGCAGGAACTCAAGACACAATGGGTCGGAAATCACTATGACCCATAGAGGAATATTAAAGCTTCAGAAGATTGCATTAAGCCATTATGTACACTATTTCTGAAAGTTTCGAAAACACCATTTTTAAATCACCACAGGAGTGTCGCCCAAGTCAACACATTTGAACTTATAGTCAGTGGCATCAGGACTTCTCCTGAATAATCTCACTCTCGAATCTATGTTGTTCTAGGAGATAAGCCTTGACTAATTTACTTTTTGGGGCTTATATTATACTTACTCGAACGAGCATTCCTAGAGGGTTCCGCAAAGTTGACGGCGTATCAAGCTCACCACAGATCGGACATTCGTAAAGTCGGACATCTTGCTGAAAAACACCTCATGAACCCTAATTGGAAAATCGTTGACTAACACTACCTCATACAAGCATGTCGCCTTTGAAGAGCCTATTCTTACAAAGATATACGGTTCGAATTTGAGGTCTCCAAAAATGATAGGGACATTACCTGGCTCGTATCGATTGAGTCGATGTCTTTTTGTGTTAAGCCTTCTTTCTCCATCAACCTTTTCATAACTTCAGAATTCTTCTTCTTATTGGCGGCGAACAATGCCTCCCGTCGTCGCTTCGCTGCAGCTTTTCGCTCCTTCAAAGGGCAACACGTTGTTGAGAAACCTTGCCGCATTTGATTGAACAAAACACAGCTACCGACAAATTTAATAACAAGAATATGCTAGTCAACATATTTAGCGGAATCATGGATCTCCAGCCAGTGATTAAAAGCTTATTCTGCTTTTTTTTTTTTCGAGTATTCCATCCAAGAGTTCTTGTTGCTAACACTCAAAAAACCTTAAAACAAACCTGAACAGACTTTTGTTCATTAGCATCTTCCTTTTTTTCAGTCTCCTTTTCTTTCTGACAATCCTCCAGTGCCGATAGAAGAGAAAGATGAACACCCTCATCGCTAAATGTGATTCCATTACATACATAACTCTAGACAAACTGTTCGTCTCCAATAAGGGAGAGGTCAGGGTCAAAAAAAGACTGCGTATGCGCCTTCAAAGTTGATGTCGTACCGGGTGGTAATACAAACCCAATAGAGGAATCCACGGTGAATATTCCTCATATCATTCCTTAAAGGCAGTGGGCAAGATGGCTGTGGTGGGCAGGTGCTGCCACTGGTGGAAGGGCCGCGATAGCGCGTTCAGCCACGTCCCATTCAGCCCTTTCACCAGTGACGTTGGCAGTAACCGACCGCCCCATCCACTCTGTCCACTGCCTTTGACACTCTTAGTTTCAGTTTGAACAGCTTGACAAAAACAGTTTGAATACTCCTGAACACTTTGCGCTCACCACTTGCAGATGAATGTCACAAGTCTTGCCATATATTCAGCAGCGCCGCCCATGATGCGCTTCTTATCGAATTCTCCAGCAACTGTACGTTTCAGGAGCTTCTCTTTTGAACCTCGTTTCTCACATTCAATCAGGAATAAAACAAACACGAGAAGAGGCAATTGTACTGCCTTCCTAAAGAGAAAATTTTGTGAGACACTTCATTAATTAATGGCAATGAGAATGAAAAAAATATACTACATTCCGCAAAAAAGTCAAAAAAAGAACTTGTTAAGAACTCACAGTCCTTCAGTCGCAACATAACTCCTTCGGAAACGTTGTGAAGCAGCCATTCTTTCAGACTGGGGAAGGGAGAACATGTACTGGTAAGCAAGCGTGAGCAGATAAACCACCAGCTGAGAGGTTGTTTCGCGTATTTCTGGATGTCCAACTATACCCTGAAAATGGGAAAATCTTGTTGTTCTCCCTTTTGAAATTGAAGCTATCACCTCTCTTGCCATTCTCTTACATTGATGTACAGCTGCGTACTCATTACTTAAAGACACATGGTACGATCACACATAGTTTGGGTGTGCGTGACTATCAGCCCCCCCCCCAGCTGTCGAAGCGTAGCGGTTTCCCCGTCCTAACATGCGCAGGAATGGAGATACAGGACCGTGAAACACGCTAATTCCTCCATGCTCCGCCCAATACCTTTTGCGGCGCAGACTCCCGTTCATGCTAACAGCCGTCGTGTGCGCGCGTGTCGCGTGCAGCTCTTGGCACTTTGCCAAGTCCTGTAATTGCGCTTTGGAATACAGGTCTCCTGATGCGGATAACATGCTGCAAAATAAGAACCGAAGATGATGACGAGGGCCAGAACTCAAGAGCAACTGTGCTGCTTCTGCAACATCCCTCGGAGGCCGCGCATTCCCACAAAACATGAAATAAAAACGGCCTAAGCGTCCCACTCGTTAGTTTAAAGTATTTCTATGGCTTTGGAGCCGGATTCGCGCCGGATCGCAGAAATTTACACGCGATTTTAATTAATTGCATTTCCTTAATTTTTCATTTTTGTTTTATTTACATCTACATTCGTTGTTCTTCATTTCTAGCCTTTGTCATCTTCATCTTTGAAGCATGAGCAACACCTCAAATGTTATTCGCATCAGGAAATTGCGTTTTGCTTGTATTAAACTAACGAGTGGGCCGTTTTTATTTTCATGTTTTGTGGGAATGCGCGGCCTCTGAGGGATGTTGCAGAAGCAGCACAGTTGCTCTTGAGTTCTGGCCCTCGTCATCATCTTCGGTTCTTATTTTGCAGCACCTAAAATGTTATCCGCATCAGGAAATTGCGTTTTACTTGTATTCCAAAGCGCAATTACAGGACTTGGCAAAGTGCCAAGAGAGCCTGCACGCGACACGACGGTTGTTAGCATGGACGGGAGTCTGCGCGCCGCAAAAGGTATTGGGCGAAGCATGGAGGAATTACCGTGTTTCACAGTCCTGTATCTCCATTCCTGCGCGTGTCAAAACGGGGAAACCGCTACGCTTCGGCAGCTGGGGGGGGGGGGGGGGGGGGGGGGGGGGGGGGGCTGCTAGTCACGCACACCCAAACTATGTGTGATCGCACCATGTGTCCTTAACCTGACACGCACAATTCTCTTTCTAGCATTAGCGTAGTCTTTTCCGGAAGGTCTCATCGTTACTTGTAATCACCCCCACGCCTCTCGAGCACGCTCTCCTCACTTCCCATCCAACAGCATATGTCTATGAACTTATCGGATCCTTTCTGTCCTTTCCTCTTACTTCCTGTTGTTATTGTTCAGTCAGTAACAAAAACCAATCCAGCAATCGTCAGTGTACAAACAGAGTACAACTACATGACTAGCTACTTTTGAAACAGGACAAAAAAATCGTAAGAACCATTCACCGCTTCGAGTACGACAATGCAAAGTTGGATGAAACGGTCGCACAACAAAATCCTGGCGATTCCTCGAACAGATTCATGTCGTGCTGAATCGGAAAAGTCCGAAAGTTGATAGGGGAACCACATCTGGAGAATTTTCTCCTCGTTTCCAAGAACTTCCCGTTCCCTAAAAAGAATGCTATTTCTAAGTTACAAGTCTGCACTGTCTTTCATTGCGATTTTCCACACCTTCGTGGACTGAAAAAAAGCTCTTTGTATCGACCACTGAAGGCAGTGGGTGGTGGGCTGCGGGCGGGCGGTCGTCACCAATGTTACTGGTAGAAGGGTTGAGTGGACTACCAACCTCTCACCGCTCTTCCACCAGTGCTGCTGGCGGCAACAGTCCTTATCCAGCAATCTTGTCCACTGCCTTTATTCGAAAACAGATACTGCAAAATGAGAGAGATCGCTGAGTGTGGAATTGAATTTGTGTTTCATGCCTATTCACGAAACTTCTATCGCGACCTTCCTTACCCTTTTCGCACTTTTTCCAGCAATCGGGTTCTCTTTTCACCGCTGTAATTCTAACCCTGCTCCTTGAATCAAGTAGCCTCAAAACGTTTGAAGCACGAGTGCTCAATATTATGCTAAAAAAAGTCAAGAGCTCACAATTTTTCCACATCCATCAACACACCAGTGCTAGACTTCGGATAGAGAGCTCTATGCTGACATAGCACAGGACAGAATTCATTCAACCAAACCTGCAATGTTTAAAATGGTCCTGATGCTCAAGTGCTAGAATACAGCCCTCTACATTTAGACAAAAGTAACAGTTACAACGCTCTATTGACAGTTACCACCCTCTAATAAAGGAATCCATATTCCAGGGATGGAAGAAGACAAGCACCACAAATACGTCAATATGGGAATTCAATTACCTGGCGTTCCCGATCGCAGAGAAAATGTTTATCTGGTGCAACGGATGAATATGTTTGGAGGTTGTAGGGGGAGGGGATCCAAAACAGCACCCACATTAGGCTGCGTTCATACCGTGCGACGTCGTCGTCAACGTCGACGTAACCGACGAAAGCGACGTAACCTGCGTTTTCTGCGACTAGTTCGTGAAGATTATATACGTATCGATCCGACGAAAGCTGCGGAAGCTGCGTAGGTTGCTTAACCGTCGAATCGATATCTTCGCTAAGTAGTCGTCGGTTACGCAGCTTACGCAATTTACGCACTTACGCAGCTTTCGTCGGTTTCGTCGAATCGATAGGTATCTAATCTTCGTGAAGTAGTCGTCGGTTACGCAACTTACGCAGCTTTCGTCGGATCGATACGTATATAATCTTCACGAACTAGTCGCAGAAAACGCAGGTTACGTCGACGTTGACGACGACGTCGCACGGTATGAACGCAGCCTTACCATGAAACTCGTTTTCAGACGGCAGACAGAAGGCAGACTAAGATTACGGAGAACGGTTGATAAAATACCTCTGTTTTAAGCTGATAGGATCCCTGCCGCATTTGTCCACCTGGCACAGCGACCGGTTCGGAGAAATCCGCAATCTAATGGAATCTATGTGAGAACAGAAAGAAATAGGAAATAGACTCGAGGAAACTCCTAGCTCGAGCTTTTAAACAACCAACTTCCTCCAAAATCTTATCAAATAGTGGATCTATCGATTCAGCTCCTCTGCTTCCTTTTTCTGCGATTATAGAACGAAGGCGCGAATGAGTATGTGGTCCACCGGCGAGAGCATTAATCTGAATGAAAAGCCATTTTCCAATTCTGAGCTACAACAAGCAAAGCAATTCCACGACAGATAGTTTCCTGAAAATCTGTTTTCATGCAAAAGAGAAATAGAGATCTTTGGTTGATAGATTCCGACAAAGCAGCAAGTATTTGGTTAACAAACCATTTCCGACCGGAGTGCGGCTTCAGTAGACGCGCCACAGTTTGCCAGAAGTACGACCAGTTCGCTTAAGAGCCTGAAAAACTTCGAGACTACTCTGAAACTCATAAGAATGTGAATAATTGCGTTCATACATTTACGTCTCTGAAGACTGAATGCCCTTTAGCTCCAAAAAATGCGCAGAGGCAGGAATTCAAGCCGAATTCGGCGCCACATCTAGCGCTGGTTGTAATATACAACGAGCCAGGACGTAAAAAGCCAATAAATTGAAAGGTTACCGTAGCGCTGCTGCTATCATTGGATCAATCCATTCTACTCGGGTGATGACATCGGCATTATCCTCATTGAAAATATAGCCCAGCTCGGATACATTTTGCAAATCTTCCTCCATGGGTTGAACTCTAAACAGTGGCTGGTTGAACATTTAGTCGATTCCACCACAATACTCCCACAGGAAGAAAAACCATTTATGCGTGGATGTAAAAAATAAAACAAAAAATAATAAGGAGTCCTGCATACGATGAAGATGGATCCAAAGAGGTGACGAAGTTATTTATTGTACGTTGTTTGAGAGCCGCCATCACCACATCGGCCTTTCCCTGAAAATTTTTAGGAAGCCTTTTCACTACTCAACTCAACTGCAAATCAAAATATGTACGTTTGATTTTCCTGCCCTATTCAAAAACTGTCACCCCAGAATCTTATGCATTACTTTGCTTATACTTTGACTATCAGGGTTCTCCTCGCTCTGAACATTTTTAGCCCTGGCGGTACTGGCTGCCAAATTAACGCCAAATCCTTTTCATCAAAATCGATATAAACTAGCATATGAAGCCTTGATCACGCATATCAGTTTCCAGCATCAGTGCCAGTTGAGCTAGAATGGCGCTGGCGCCGGCATGGTGCCGCGACTATTCCCTCCAAATTTCATATTTCGTATCTGAAGTTATAGAGTGGCGGGAAAGGTTTCTGTCCATACTATTTTGAATCACCCAAAAATATTTGCTAATTTTCTGGAAAAGCGTAAACGGTAAATGAGCACTCTATACATCAAAGAATGGTCTTTCTATTGGTATCACTGGCTTGACTCCTGCCTCTCCTTATCGTGCAATATGAACAAGAATGTTATCCGCTACCTTTGGCACCGACCCCTCCAAGTGCTTCCTCAAACTCTTTCTTCTACCGCCCTGGCGCCAGCATGACAGCTGTCGACGCCGAAATAACGGAGCTGCACATGGACAATGTCTACAGTCATCTGACAATCTTCCACGACGCTGGCTCTTCAGAGCGGGAGGCTACGGTGCGAATGGCGAAGTGATGTTTGGGAGTACCTGTGATCTCAGCTTGAGATAGCTGTGGGCCGGGAAACTACTGTATAAAGAAGCTGTCTCGGTTAATCCGTACGCAAGGCAGCTACGAGATCTGAAGCGAATCGTCAAGCAGAGGGCAAAATCCATCGGCACAGTCCGTCTTCAACGTGCTGGTGCAGCACACCCCGTCAAAAAAAGTTCGAGCCGTACTTCATGCAAAAGAGCTGGATGGCTCTCCCTCTGCACTGGTGTACCCCAGACATTGCTCTTTCTGACTGCTAGTCGCCTCCCGTATTTAACCGTTATACAGCCGAGAAAACCTCCACGACTTGAGCCCAAGTCAAAGTTGAGATGATGTCCAACATTGCGTCGTGCCAGCCTCCATTGTGAAGCGATGGCATCCACGAAGTGCTCGAAAACTGGCAGGGATTCCGCAATGACATTGCTGTATAATTTTGATCTTGTACGCCTCTCTATAAAAAGAAAGCCTTGTTTGAAAAAATGTGACAGAACTTTCCCGCCAACCTAATAAATTGGAAACCCGAAAACCCGATCACAACAAACATAATGAATTTTTGGGGCGCAGCGCCATGTAGCGCTCTGTTAAGAATGACAGCGGGGGGGGGGGGAGGGTGAGAAATGATTCTCTCCTCTCCTCTAGCTCAGCCTTAGCAGGGCGCGAACGACCAGTGTTGACCACAGCGCTCTACATTGACACTTGCGCTAAAAATGATTTTCATATCTCTGCTTAGAAAGTCAAAATACTCTAGTATGGAAATTTATCCGATACTTGGTGAAGAAGGCAGTGGCGCCAAGTTTGTGCCCCATCACCGCAAGTCTACATCGACTTTGCTATGAAAAAGGGTTGCACCTAATGGCACCAGCGCCAACGGACGTCATGACAAAGTAACTCTTCGAAACAGTTTCAACAACGAAAAAAAAGTTTTTACGGTAGTAACAGTTGAGCAGTGCCGTTTTCCTTGAACAAGTCATCCTGTCAAGGGATTCACATCTCAATGTCAATCAAATGGGAAAAGGCGGGGGCTAAATTTGCACACACTGGAGCGCCTCAAGAAGTGATTAAAAATGCTGCAACGCGCGGCTATTTCTAGTGTACCACAGCGACACGCAAACAGGTTAGAAAGTTAATAGCAGAATCGTGACCCCAGCTAATACAAGAATTTTGGAACTGCTTTGTACAAACCCAAAATCTCTCGTTATTTTGAAAAAACGAAGAAGGAAAAGAAACAAGAGATTAAACTCACTGGAGGAAGATCTTTGAGAATGACTCGAATCTTCTCAGCGCATTTTTCCCAATTTTCATCAGCGATTTCATCAGGTGTGGAACGACCAGTGCCTACAATCTTGTTATTGGGGTGATTTCCAATTATGCAAACACTCAGTAGTCTATTCTCGCTAACAAAAGCAGTTCAGAAAGCTGAGAAACGCACCGAGTTCTTTTGCTGTTTTCAAGGAGTCATCCAAGCTCACTTCCATACCACTCTCAGACCCGTCCTTTTTGTGAATAATAGCGAACCGGAACACATCAATAAGATGGAAGTTGTGTACCATGGCCTCCACAAACCAGTCAGGATCCACATTGGCAGCGCAGTATCTAATATACTTAGAAGTGCTCTACAGTGCTACACTCATTATAGCCCTAATTACCTGATCAAATCAATGTCGGGCGTTTGAAATGAAGTATTGATATGGGGTTGTGCATAAATAATGGCTTGTACTCGTAGCTGATTACCATTACGTACCCACATTCCAGCGTAATACTCCGCACGCGCAACCTGTAATCCAGAACATTCGACCGCAAGGAACACTTGAAGTAGCATCCTTCACTTTCTTATTCCTCTCAATGACCCCTCTCCGTACCCCCTTTTGTAGGCTAATTTGTCTGACTTCGTTGGCAGCTGTGTGCAGTTAGCTTGACTTAGGCAGCGTTCAGACTTAGCGACGGCAGTGCCT